GCCACACTGGATACAACATGCTACCAGAATCACTTTCCCCAGTATTGATGATCTTTCCTTAGGGTGTTATATAAAACACATCTGTAGCCACTTCATCTTGCTCACGAAATCATACACCACCACACAAACGGGCCCTTCGGCTAATACTTTGGGTGGTGATGTATGATATTGATAATCTATTGATACTAGGGCTGAAACGATTATATCGGTTATCCGTCTAATTGATCATTACAAGGAAACGATTTCGATTACGCTGTCTTTTTCGATTACGCGATTCTAAAAAAAAAGAAACGCCTGCAAGAATCAAAAGATGTCATGTACAGCACTACTAGATACTGTACTTTGTCCTTTTCCTCGTTTCTTTTTCTTGTCCAAATGTTTTCCAGTAGGGGCCGTGAAAAAATAAAAATAAACGAGAGAGCTTGTAAGCTCAGGGCCCTGCGCTATGCTTTGTTGCCTAGCTCATGGTGTATGTTGTTAGAACTGATGGAAATGCTTTTTCCTTTGATAAGCTACATCATTGTATTGCAAAAAACGTTTCAATGAGATACTGAAGTAATGTCTTCTGCATAGCTATGGGACCGGCGCTGACTCTGCCGATCACGGGCGTTCTGGAGTCGACGGGATGTCTGTCCTGACGTTTCCTGGGACCGGCGCTGACTCTGCCGATCACGGGCGTTCTTCTTATTCTTATTCTTATTATACTGACGGCAACTAACATCCATTCGGATTGCATTTACTCGTCTCCCTACTTCGTATTTCTTTCCAGAAAATCTCCCCATACAGCAGGGAGTCGTTTACATAATAATTATGACTCCCTGCTATACATCTACATGACTGTATACACGTTATAATTATTATGCTATCGGCCTACATGCGATTCCCGGGCTGGTCGACAGGCGGCCCAGCCAGCCTGCTAGTGGGATCTCGGCCTCGCACACAAATCCACACAAAATGTTACTGCACTGAATGCATTCCCCTGATACACCGTTCGCATATATACTCATTCTCTTGATGGTACGGGACAGGTACGGGATAGCGCCAGGCATGTCGATGGCACAAACCAGGGAGTAGTACAATACCGGTATTGTACTACTCCCTGGCACAAACAAACAAAAATATTGTGGCCAGCTGTCTTTGTTGGTACGGTACAGTACGGGACAGATACGGGATAGCGCCAGGCGTGACACAAACAAACAAACAAACAAACACCAAATTAAAGCTGTATGGACCCTGGCTAGCGCCAGACGTTACTGAAGTAACGTCTTCTGCATAGCTACGGGAATAAAAAACTGACTGTCTGCACCGGCACGTGATGTGCCACTGCATTGTGTAGAGTACCCGGTTTATCTGCATGTGTGTATGTACATGTATATATGTATATGTCAACACGGCATACTTTGTGCTGGTCTGGCGCGATAATTTCTAGGACACAGTAATTGATATCATAATCGATAATCGAATCGATGCAAGGGTAGGTTAACCGATAGTTGAAAAGTGTAATCGTTTCACCCCTAATTGATACCATATCCAAGTCTGACTCTCACCGTGAGATCCTGGCAACAATATTACCTGGTACATGACATATTCAGACACTGACATAAGCATCTTTTTGGAACAACACGTGTGCCTATCTGCTAGAGTAATGTGACACACATGCAGAATCAGTCATAGCTAATTTTACCCCCTCACTGTTGTATGCGCAGACTCCACTTCGCGGTGTCAAGTACTCTTCTTTCGATGGGCTACTCCACTCAGGCGCTTGTCTTAAAGGACTCACATTCATCCTACAAACCTACACGACTTGCATAGTTTTCACTGTCGGCCGAAGTGCGTGCATTGCACACATTGAGATTCACTCCCTCCGTACAGGCCAGTACAGAGCTGCCCACCAATTGAGTTCGTTTTGCGTACTCAGACTTCTGATTTTCCGTATCTTGCAGTGTGTTGCGTACTGCCGTGTACATTGCATGCAAGTTGCACTACAAAGTTTTTTGACACGCACATGCATGTCGGTGGATGCATTTAGTAGTGTAAAACATGTGTGACTTGCACTCACGACATTATTTTTTGTGCTACATGTACATGTTGTCGTGGTACGGCATGCACTCGCTTTGGTACAAGACTATTCATCGCTCAGCTTACACTTGCAATGCTTCTACACAGCTGATTGATCCTCTTCGATTTTCTATACCATTTGCTCAAATTCTGTAGTGCGGACAAGGAGTGATTTTCCGTACAAATACAGAAAATATGGAGGGCTGGTACTTGGTAGCACTGCTAGTATGGTAGTGCCAGGCTAAGCTGGCTGGAAGATCAACTACTTTTTTGGTTCTTTCAGTCATTTTCACGACCTTTATTTTCTTTATCATGATCCCCGGGGTGTGACGTTCTTACGAATGCAGAAATCAGTCTTTCTAACCGAGTCTCACGTGCACTGTGAATTTGTTCTTCTTTTATTCACACTGCCATGTATCGATTCATCGCTTCTTCCCACCCGAGATCCTGTGCAACAGTGGGCTTTATCAAATAGTGATCAGAGAGAGAGAGAGGATCAGTTGTGGCTGCTGTGACAGCTGCATAGAGTGTAGATTGGCGCAAACATCATTGCCCAGCGCAGCAGAACCGTATTCATAGGGACCTGCGTTTAGCATTTGGAAGCTATTTTTTAGAATTTTTACAGGCCCAATAAGCCTGAAGAAAAGAACACCTAACTTAGACTGTCCTAACGTTATCGAACGCACTGCCAAAGTAAAAACAACATTTGAAGTGCAAACTCGATTGTGTATGCATGGAGGGCATGGGGAAGATACGGAGAGGGTGAAAGTGAAGGAAATTTGTTCCGAAATCAAGAGAATCCGAGGAACCCTTGCTGCATTCTTCAGTTCGATAACGTCAGTGGGTGCATCTCAGATGTGTTGTGTGCCCAGACATACAAGTAGCACTAACCTGAGCATGAGAGCTGCTTGTCATCATCGTGGTCAGGAAAACGAAAGGACGAACGTAGAAGATTGTTGACCATGACGAACAACAGTGCATATCCAGACGACAGACGGCTTGCCAGAATCAGTCTGGTGCATCTTCAGGAATCTTCTTTCCTAATCGCATTCAGCAGTCAGCTTCGAGGTCAAGCTTTTCAGAAGGAATAATTTTCAATTTTTTTTTAAATTTTGGAGAAGAAGCTTCCTTTCTAAAAAAAAGCGTTCCTTGCTTTCACGCAAGGTGCCTTGGCGGACATGTCGTCGACAGCACAGTGTCGGCAGATCCATCGTTTGTAGGCTGCAGACCCGGCAGACGTTTTGATCAGCCCGGCCTGGTGGTGAGATTTCGGACCCGGGAGTACTAAAAACTGCTCGCATCCCAGGGTGCTCAGTTTCGCTCTATCCGATCGAGTAAGGCTTCCAGAAAGGCCCTCAGGTGCGCGGCCTGCGGTGCCATAATATACCTCCTCGTCGGTGCCCCCGGCGGGTTTGGCTGAGGCGGTGCCGCTTGCGGTCCCGGTACCACTGCCTCCTCCTGATCCTCCGCCATCGGTTCTTGCGGCGGTGGAGCTTGCCAGTGGCAGACCGCGAGCAACACTGACAGCTGCATTAACACTACAAATTGGGAGAACTTCAAATTCAAAGGATCATTCGGGGAAGTGAACTGCCTGAAAAGAGAAAAAACACCAGACCCACCAGGACTCGAACCTGGGACCCTGACCCAAGTGCCATCAGTATGTGTGGCACGTGTTGTGAGCTGCCTTTGGAGTGAAAATCTTGTCAGCGCCTTCTGGGTTCAGCCTGGTCCCATAGCTCAGTGGTTAGAGCATTGCTCATGGCAGCAACCACAATTAATCCACCATCCAAGCCCATAATTGAAAGACCAAGACGATCAACAGCCAACTACAACAGAAGCTACGCACTCAGCGGACGAGGGCGAAAGGAGGGACGTGATAGCAGGGGGACGGCCGAGTTGAGTTCAATGGACCCGGTCAGGCGGGATGGACGAGACAGAGAGAGTACAGAGGAAGCGGAGGATGGAACGGACGGCGGAGGGAGCAGTGAGTCGGAGAGCAGTGATGGGAGTGATGGTGAGAGTGCCGGTGAGAGTGTTAGTGTTGTACGTAGGTTTCGTGGTAGCAAGTCTTCAGTGTACAATCATCTGCTGGCTAGTCCTGATTGTTGCGGTGCGTATTCCGACTCTTCGTTCACTGTATTGTGCCGTGGTCGTCATGGTTATGGACTACAGTTAAAAGTGTTGGAAGCTATCTATCAGCGTCTGTACAAGCCTAATTTGTGTGTACAGAAAGATAGTATAATTGGGTTGAAATTGTTCAAGTAACGTGTCGTGTTTAGTGCGGCCAAGCTTGGCCGTTAATGTTCTAGGTGTAATGTACTGCTGTTATGTGTTATCACGTTGTCTTTCCTTCCTTTCTCCTTTGTTCAGTTCTCGCTTTGATTGTTAAAATTCACACTTGTAATTTTCACTGTTGTTGCTCTTAGTGTTATTTCTCTAACTTAGATTTTCTATAATAGTTCAATTTTTGTTTCAGTGTCCTTTAGTACAACGACGATTCCTGATGACTGTTGTACGAAAACTTGTTTGAATCCCTTTCTTTCTCTACACAATTTCTTCACATTTTTCATCGTTTTATTGCACATTGTCTCCACAGTTTTACAATACATGAATACAGTGTACACAAATGTCGATCCAGCTTGTATTACTGATTGCGGTTATCAAATTGTTGTCTCCTCGCCGTTTGTTCAAACTAGGAAATTAGAGGCCACATGCCACGTACTGCTCTTTTCTCTCCGAAACTCAACACTTGCAAGCCAGATATGAAAGAAAGAAAAAAATCATCAGTCACACCACCGGGACTCGAACCAGGGACCTTGTTATTCGCGAGCAATGCTCTAACCAACTGAGCTACAGTATGACTCTTATCCACAGTGATGGTAAATCTATCCTTCCTCGATCAATCATTATCTGGCTTGCATCATACTGGCAACTCACACCAATCAAGAGGGCCCTCGGCCATTCGCTTGATATCATGGGGAGCGCATCAAACTATGTCCACTGCGAGCAAATACAAATTGCAATTTCAAATTTGGACTTCACGGAGAATTTCACAAAGTGTTAGGAAATTAGAGGCCGCATGCCACGTACTGCTCTTTTCTCTCCGAAACTCAACACTTGCAAGCCAGATATGAAAGAAAGAAAAAATCATCAGTCACACCACCAGGACTCGAACCAGGATGAAATTGCAATTATTATTATTACTTTGAAGAATTATAAAAATTTGCTACTACTGTTGTTGCTAGCGCCTGCAATTACATGTCTGCACGCACCTAGTGCACATGTACATTCTGTTTGTTGCTTGTACCTGTGCCATTTTTAGAGTTGTCGCGTATTGCGTTATTTCTATACCTGGGTTTTTTTGGTGATGTTTTGTCCTTTTGTTCTCTCTCTCGTCATAGTGCATGCAGGTGTGATTTGTTATCAGTTTGCAGCGCTCCTCGTATATTAACCCATCCTAACCGGTGTGCCCACTTCATTCCTGATGATGGTTATTTCATGACCGAAACGTTGAAATATAATATTTTTCTGGTGAAAAGCAGTTATTTGAGTGTGAGCCAGTGTTGCTCACAACCAATTTTTTACTTATGAAGCTGCGTGATGCGTCCTACAAGATTTTTTATTGAAGAATTATTATTATGCAATTCATACTTCCAAAAAAAGGCGCATAGCCTAGGCTATCAGATACAAGAGAAAGATAAGAGCAGACGGGATGAGGCAATGACTTGCATGCGGGTGCAGCATCTGGCCTGCAGAGCGTTCCGACAGCGTGGTCCCCGGAAACTGACCCGTGCTGTTGACAGCTGCCTGAGAAGGCTCCGCTTCAGGGGGTGTGCTGGATGTGGCTGCTGGCAATGGATGTTGGGATGTGATGCTGGTGGCTGACATCTCACTGGTGGATATCTCACTGGTGGGCATCTGCGTGGTGGGCATCTGCGTGGTGGGCATCTGCGTGGTGGGCATCTCGGTGGTGGGCATCTCAGTGGTGGGCACTTGTGTGGTAGACTGTGCACATGCCTTGTATGGCTTCTGACCACGATAGTTGCCACCGGGTCCGTAGTTACACACCACAATGTAACCTTTGGAGTATTTACTCTTGTCGAATGGGTAGCTTTGGGTGGTTGCCGCGTCGCACAGTTTCGCCCCACAGCCCAGCTGCTGACTGGAGTTCCACACAATCTGGGTGTAATGACCGCAGACCTTGCCAGGTGCGCACGCCAGAGTGGCGTAGTCGTAGTCTTGTTTCTCTCTATCCCATGACGTCACACTGACGGCTGGGTCAGAGGGCGTGTTCGTACTGATGTACAGGTTTTCACCCACATACGAGAAAGCTCCGTTGGTGTCCGATGTTCTTGCTCCATTGTGCTCGTAAATACACCTGTCAGCGTACGCCTGTGCCACGTTGGCCAGTACAGTGTTCCACGTCATGGCTGGTAGTGGCGTACAGGGCGTAGGTGAGGCGATAGACCTGGCGTTGTTGTGCGCGTTCAGCATGGCGTCTTTCTGCGACTGCGTAAACACGGACTGCGCGGAATGCGGTAGAACGGCGCACATCGCCAGCCACACAAGCAAGGTAGTGAGGCGCATCTTGAATGAGATCGAGCACAACAGGAATCTGTATTCAGCTAGAGTTGTACCTCACTGACCGCTTCACTTCGCCGGTTGTAGATCCACAAACAAAAGGCGGGTCTTTAGATGCTGGTCCAGCCCTCACCAGGTTCCTCAACTCAATGATCTGTTTGCTGTTGGAGCGTTACACACGCGTCAAGCGTCGCGATAGAACACCACAACGCGTACAGTTTGCTGGCTGGATGTCATTCGAATCTCCTCTGCCACAACCAGGCGAGCAGTGAAGAGCATTAGAGGCTTGCGCGGATCAGCAAGCCCACACCTTCCTCAACTGCCTGAACTGAATTCTGAAATACTACTAATGAACAGTCTCAGTGGTACAAGCACAGTCATGTAGCTAGCGCGCACAACTGATATGAACAGCTACAGCTGAGTATCACTGACAGTGACACTGTGCATGTGCGCTGCACATGCAGGACTACTCCGTGTCTGTCTGAAACTAGACTTCACTCTTCAGACTGAGTTCTGTCACGTGGATGTTTCACGCATGCACGGCGTTCCGGATCCGGAAGGCTTGCGCGATCCGTGACTACGAATTCATGCACCCCGATCCCAGCTACGATTGGTTGAAACAAACTGGCATACGAACAAGAAAGAGACAGAGAAAATCTGCGTGTGCGTGAGCGATACTGTGTGCCAGATGCTTCAAGATAATTGTTAGTGATCTTTTCAAAAAAAGTAGATCTACGAACTGAGTGAAGGCGAACTGACACAAGTAACAGACTTGTTCCGAGTTCAGCCGGTCTTATGCAAAAGCGCAAAGGTTACTGCTGACTCATTCTTGTCGGACGTTAGTTCAACCAGTCATGTACATTGCCCGAAGTAATGTTAGGCCAAAACAAATAATGACCTTGTTTCCGGTCGCCCGACCGGGCCACTTTTTCCCAAATTCTGAAACTTTTTTTTGGTCCCAAATGTATACAAACGGTGGCCAACGAGTCATAACTCAGTCAAATCTCAACCGAATTCCACAATCGAAACACCCACAAGGTAGCAAAGATTCTCAGTTGTCGGCTCAAAACCTCCGGGGTCGATACGAGCTAGAATAACGGAGCTGGAAGGACTCAAACTGTTTGCTTGATTTCTCAGGATGTACGAAAACAGGAATACACCACATGCTGTACAAGAACAGTGAGTCAGGCAACTTTGACATTGATCCTTGCCATGATGTATGTACAATGTACATGTGTAGGTGCTCTTGTCCATCAATACCAGGAACCAAAAAAAGTATCCAAAAAAGTTTCATTCCGGCCGACCGAGTCTCCTTTTTGAGGGGTTGCCGACCGGAAACAAGCCTATTTTTTTGTTTTGGCCTTATCACCTAAACACCGGCGACGTCTTTCTTCATCATTACACGAAGTCTATCACTCAGTGCATGCAGTCATATTGCAGTGCCATCATGTGGTTGTCATTTTTGTATGAAACGTGCTGCCACAGAACAGTGCTACGTAAGCACTGTCGTGTACGTAACAGTGGGTAGTCGGTAGTCATTAGTCTACACACAGTACATAATAACAAGAGTCCATAACCCCCCAGAGTGTGCAACTCCAGGTTGGGGTCTGGCGCAACGAAATCCAAACATTGCGTCATCCGGTCCCCGGGCAAGCATGGGCGGATGGGGCCATGTGCATATCTGGTACATCCGGCGGGGGTTCCAAGTGGAAGCAAGCCACGGAAGTGTCACGTAAAACGTTTGCTCCACGGGCTATGCAGTGTCAGCAGAACGGCTTTGATTTCACAGTCACAGAATTTTTTTATTTGAAGAGAGTTTCTCTGCTCGTTGTCTGAAAAGCTTGTATTGGGAGAGTTCGTGACTCCGGGATAGCAAGAATAGGCATGGATATAGATTTACAAGATTTGATGGAAATAGCTCTTGGCACGGCATGAAGACCCGATCGATTTCGAAGTAGATGTGCTTCAACCTGCTCCTCAGTCCCATTTTGGTACAATTTCCAACACTCGACAATCGAGAGAAGAAAATGAGGAGCCCAGATCGAGCAAAAACTGACGAATATCGTCCACAGAGACTAGTTTGGAGTTGACAGGAGGGCATGCACATCGAAACCACGCCTTGTCAACGACCCCGTTCTTGCTCAGTTTTAACGACCACACTCAGCAAAGAACAAAACAACAACGAAGCACAACGACACACCAACGCTGATGTGGCATCGCAAATCCCGTACCGTGCACGCAGGCACTGGGTTGCAACAGAAAAAAGACGCGCTGCAAGCGTGCCAAGCAGCGAGTGAGTACAGAACGCGTACTAATGCCAGTCATGGCAACGGAAGATAAAATTATGGAGATCGACCCGCGCATGGTTCGATCGAGAGCAGAGTACGAAAAAAGCACACATTCAAAGTTCAAACTGTGCAACAGAAGCAGAAGAGGAAAACGAAAATGAACACTTGTCGTGAAGTGAAGTGCTTCTGTCCAAGGGTGCTCGCACCCGACGGGGTGACAGCGCCCCTAGTCAGACAATACAAGGCAAACGAAATAGAAATTAGCTGAGTCACAGCGCGGCAATCAATGTGCCACTCGATTATAGTAACAACGACAAAGAGATACTCTTCTAAACATTTCTCTCCCTTCTCACTGTGCCGAAATTCACAGTGACCAAAAAATTCGAAATTGATTATTGTTCTGAAATAGGCAAACAAGGAGCTACTCACAGAATAGCTTACAAAGACGCACGATTGGGCGGGTGTAGGTCTTGTCGCCCACCTTGACCTTCACAACTCGCACGTGTCCGTCTGGACCAGGGTGCACTTCGGTGACGCGACCCATTGGCCAGGTGCCCCGTGGGTTGTCTTGGGATGTCACTAGAACGATGTCGTCGACCTTGAGGTCTGTTTCGGCCGTCCTCCACTTGAGTCGCCGGTTCAGCTCTGGCACGACTTCCTGCATCCATCTCCGCCAAAAGTGCAGCACGAGTTCTTGCACTACACGCCAGCGTTGCCGAGGGTTGAACTCGCTCTCGTCCACTCCTGCAGGTGCGAACCGAGTACCGATTTGGCCATACATGAAATGATTGGGCGTTAGCGGAGTTGGGTCACGACCATCTGCCGACACGTAGGACAGTGGCCGTGAGTTCATGAGCACCTCCGCGCCGACGATAGCAGACAATAGCTCCTCGTCTGTGACCTCCGCGTTCTTCAGAATCGCCGAGATAGCACGCTTTGCCGATTTCACTAACGCCTCATGCACTCCGCCGAAATGTGGTGCTGCTGGAGGGTTGAAACGCCAGCTAGTCTGCTGATCCGCTGTCTGCCGCTGAATCGCCTCTGCATCAAGCTGCTTGACTAGCTGAGCAAGCTCATTGGTGGCGCCGACGAAATTCGTGCCATTGTCGGAGATGACGTCGATCGGTACTCCCCGTCGATTGGTGAAGCGTACGTACGCCTGCAGGAACGAGTCCGTTGTCAACGCGTATGACAGCTCGAGATGCACTGCTCTCGTCTGCAAGCAGGTGAACAAGCACAGGTACCGCTTGTGTTGTGTCTTGCCGCGACCCTGCTTTGTCATAAACGGTCCGGCGTAGTCTACAGAGACTCGGCCGAATGCGCGTAGCGGCAGGCTGACTCGGACCTTAGGTAGTGGCGCCATCACCTGCATTGCCGGCTTCGTACGGCTCCGGGCGCACCTCGCACACTTGGCTTCCCAAGCTCGCACCTCTTCGCGGCCAGCGACGATCCAGTAGCGCGACGAGAGTTCGGCTAGCGTATGGCTGACACCGAACGCGTGATATCCTCGTTCGTGACATGCCTTGACAATCAGCTGTGTCACACGATCCCCTCGTGGTAGGACGATCGGATTGCGTTGTTCTGCAGTCAAGAAGTCTGCATGCTGTAGTCGACCTCCGACGCGTAGCAGGCCGGCGTCGTCAATCATCGGCTTGAGCGAGACTAGCTTGCTGGTTGCAGGGATCGGCTTGCCTGCCTTAACTGCAGCATACTCTGGTAGCGACTGTTGCTGCGCTCGCTTGATGTAGAACTCCTCAGAGTCTCGGATCGCTTGTGGCGATAATTCATCAAACTCTCGCTGTGCGGGTGGTACTGAGCAATTCGTAGCGAATCGCACACACCAAGCATGAACACGGCACATTCGTACCCAGTCGGAGTAGCGGCTTGGCTCTAGACGATTCAGCTCGCTGTGGCATTGGTCGACGGTCACCGCAGTCAGCTCGATGGACTCGTCCGTCGGTTGATTGTCTTTCTTCAACTCCAGAGTTGACGGACGGGGCTTCAATTCTGGCTGAACAGGCCATTCACTTTCAGCGGCACCCAAGAAGCCGGGACCGTTCCACCATAAACTGCTTCCCGCCAACTCTTGCACTGACATTCCTCGAGAGACCAGGTCGGCTGGATTGAGCGCGGTGGGCACGTACCGCCACTGGGTAGGATTGGTTTGCCGTTGAATCTCGCCCACTCGACTAGCCACAAACTGCTTGAAGGTGCGGCTGTAGTTGGTGATCCAGTGCAGAACGTTGCTGCTGTCCGACCATAGCGTCGTTGCTCGGGGGTCGAGGTTCAGTGACTCGGCGGATGATGTGGCGAGCGTTGCTCCGGTTGTCGCCGCCATTAGCTCAAGCCGCGGAACGCTGACAGCAGTCACTGGTGCCACACGGACCTTGCTTGCGACGAACCGTGCTGTCGGTTCTCCAGTGTCATAGTGACTGACCAGATACGCGACTGCTCCGTATGCGACCTCGGACGCATCTGAGAACACGTGAAGCTGGCTGCTGATTGCTGTGCGTCCCGTGGCCGTCAGGCAGCGTGGTACACGTACTGTTGATAGCTCCGTCACCTGCTCAAGCCAGCCGAGAACCTTCTTGACGATTGCTGGGGGCAGTTGCTCATCCCATGCTGCTCCACAAAGCCACATCTCTTGCAGCAGGACCTTTGCTTGCACGAGGTACGGTGCGAGGAGTCCAAGTGGATCAAACAAACTTGCTGTTGCACTGAGAAATGCGCGCTTCGTAGGACTTGAGCCGATCCCCGACAGCTGCAGCTGGAACGTGAACTGGTCCTCCTTGGCAAGCCAGAGGACTCCCAGTGTCTTGACATTCGGCAGCTCTCCCTTCGTGAGGTTGATCTCCTCAGCGCGATCCTCCTCCGGGATGGTCTGCAACACCGCCGTGGAGTTGCTCAGCCATTTTCGCGGGTGCATACTGGCTTTGTGCCACAACGCCGACAGCTGCCTTACGAGCTCAACGCCTTCCTCATCGCTTCGAACAGAGTCCATGGAGTCATCCATGTACGTTGACTCAAGGACCGTTTCCGCTGCACGAGGATAGGTGTCGGCGTG